TAAGTTTGAAGAATTCTTTTCTTGTTTAAGGTGGATCCAGTCAATCACTAGCCTTACTAATGACCAAGCAACTGGTCCATCAGTCGGCCAACCAACCAATCAGCCTAACCAGCCAACCAACCCACCAACCAGCAGAACAACCAAGCAACGAACCAACCAGCCAAACCATCAGCCGGCCAACCAACCAACCCACCAACCTACTCACTCAACCAAGCAACCAACCATTCAGAACCAACGAACCCACCAACCAACCAACCAGTCAACCAACCAGCAGACCAACCAAGTAACCACCCAAACTACCAGCCAGCCAACCAACCAACCAACTTACCCACCAACCAACAGACCGACCAGCCAGCCAGCCAACTAGCAAACCAACCAATCCAACCAACTCTCCCAGCCAACGCACCAACACACCAACCCACCAACAGACCAATCAGCCAACCAACCAATCAACCGACAAGCCAAACATCAAACCAACCCAACAAGACCAGCCAAACAACAATCCGACCAACAAGCCATCAAACTACCAACAATCCGACCAACAAGCCATCAAACCACCAACAATCCGACCAACAAGCCATCAAACCACCAACAATTCGACCAACAAACCATCAAACCACCAACGATCCGACCAACAAACCATCAAACCACCAACAATCAGCATTATATAGTAGATGTCAAACGAGCAGACCAAAAACCTGTTAACAAACCAGCCAATCAAGTAACCTAACTTCAGTCTAACCAAATAGAATGCCTGCATTTGAAACAGAAGTCAGTCCGTAAATCAACCAGCTGTCACGTTAGCCACAGCAGCCAAAAGAAGTTCATATATTCCCGCAGCCAAAAAAAAAAAATAACCTTAACTGTTGATACTTTACTTAGAAAGTTAATTTGACTATCAATATGTTAGAAAGAGGTGCATTTGGCTTAACTGAAATTAATATAACAGACTGAGACACTTGTATTTGTCAAATTCTAACAAAAAAAAATGTATTTGTGAATTTCTGTGAGGGTAAGAAGAGTGCAATCAGGGAAACATTTAGTAAGAAATTGCACTTATTTAACAAGACAAAGGATTTTACACTACTTTGCCTAGATTAGTTTGCAAACCATTTCACAGATATCTTGATTCTAACATGGTACAACTTAGTTTCCTACAATGTTAGTTTCAGACACGCATCACGCAACTTCTCCACACCAAGTGAGAGGTTGAGTGATGCGTGGCCAAAACTGAACACGGATACGAGGAGATTAAAACTTAGTATAGTGGTTTTAGAGTGGTTTTCATCTGACTGCGAAATAATTCATAAGCTAATAGACACTAGTAGACCATAGACCCTTAAAATACTTTCGTTCATTGGAATACAATTAATACATACTATTAAATACTGGATATTTGAGTTGTTTCACAGTCAGATGAAAACCATTCTTTTGACTAAATGCTAAATAGTTTGTAATTAGTACTTTTTGTTTCATGGACTAAGTGYGTGTACAATACTGTGGAGGGTAGCTCTTCTATGGACAGATCTTTTAAAAGTAATGTATTTGCAACTTGCATGAAAATAAAATAAAAATACTACTTTGCCTACCGGCACAATCACTGGATTGATTATTTCATGAAAAAGATGCTTTCTTYGATGTCATAAAATAATGGTTGTTCACACTTCGCAGATCAAAATGTCTCTTCATATAGTTTCATCATGACTGACATGGCTTACTGCAGTTTCTATAGAGTTGCAACTGTCTTTAATTATTATACACATTTTCACAGATGTCTACTGTACAACGCTGTTCAGTCTACTGCAGTTTTCAGAGAGTTACTAGTGATGAAACATGAACAATGAACTTCTATCAAGTCAAATGTACAGATKTCTACTCCATAAAATCATTGATAAWTTACTGGYTTTTYTGCTTACTGCAGTTTTCAGAGTGTTAYTAGTGATGTAACATGAACAATGAACTTTTTATCGATTCAAACGTACAGATTTCTATTCTGTAAAATCACTGATTATTTACTGCTGTTGGTAAGGAGTTGTCAGTTACTAAGCTGTAGAACATCACTTCTTTAGGAGCTGCKGGGAAATGCTCTTCACTGAACCAGTTCGTTTTGTTCTCTTTATATTTCAATGAGCTTGCTACATGAACAATCGAGAGAAGACCTTGGCAGCTTTCCATACTGCATTCTGGGACCGTGCACTAAGAACAGAATAGACAAATWAAAATAAGGTTTTATAAGTATATAGCTTTTTTACACTTTTGAAATACATTATTTGGGCAAGAAAAGTACATGCAAACACAAAACTAAAGCTGAGTCCACCAAAACAAATGTTTTCAAAAATTATATCGTGTTCTTTATAGCTTTATCCTTGATCACAAAAGAAAAAGCAGTTATCTGTAAAAACTACTCCAATGAAGGATTAACGCCTGAAACATCAGTAAGTTGTTTCATCTCCTTTTTTTGTGGTGTTACATTTATCTTAGTTTTTACATGTAAAAACTTGGTACAATTCTGATGCAATTTATAGTCATCAAAATCCAGGCTGAACATTTTGATTAAAATGGAGTACACTCACTATAATGGTCTTCATACATGTAAGCTAACAAAATAGATTAGACTGTTAAGTGACGTGGTCTCAGAATTTATGTGATATGTTGTACACAAAGGTTTGTTACCTTGATATAGATTGATGAAACTGTTGTAGTTGTTCTCGTGTTGCTACTATATGTCCTGGTGCRGCCTGTGTAGGTAAAGAGTGGAGAGCCTGTCCAACCCAGTCAAGAGCATCCTGAAATTACAATTAATAATAAGAAAATCAATACACTACTGACCATTTTGACCATTTCATAAACAAAAGAAATGATCGCAAAGGTAAGACTTGAAAATCAAATAGACCTATCCATATGTGTCTAATAATCAGGAAGCAACAGATTTCAAGAACATATTGATACAAATCCTTAATAATTTGGGCAAAAAATGTTGGAGTAGATGAAGTCATTTACTCTATCCTTTTGTTCTTCCATCTTTTGAATCAAAATTTATCTGATGTGGGATAATTCCCAAACAAATATTTTCCCACAATTGTTTTTAATAAATATAAAATGAGTCATATATTTGTATTGCTTGAAGTTTTTAAATAAGGCTATTTTCATGCAAGTAGCACTTTAAAACAATAAAAGACTGATAACCTGTTTAGAGAAACATAAAAGCTCCCAGATGACATCAGCTACTTCAGGGACCATATATGTAGGGATACCACCAGCACAGGCATTTATAAGCCCTAAAAAGATATAGATTAACAATTTCATCTCTTTAATGTACTAAAAAAGTGACATATATAACACCAGACAGATACCTTTTGTTAATTCCTGGCCATGGGTAGAGAGTATTTGATGAACAAGATTGACACAATCATGATGATTTTTGGTCTGAAACAAAATATAAACACTTAATTCAGTAACCTTACAAGCAATTAAGTCACTTTTAGTTTTAGTGGCCGTATGGCTAATACAATTTTTTGATGACATATTTTTTAATATATCAGTATAAACGTCGTTTACTGCTGTTTATACTCCTGTTTGAGTAGCATAAACAACATGTATATGCCACTATGCTGCCTAACAATCTATTTGAGTAGTGTAGTCAAAGATACGTTGCAATAAAAGTCAATTTGCTTCTGGTCAAATTGTGCATAATTTTCTTACTCTAGACAATAATCAGTTCCATATATTACTACTATAAAATGCTGGATCCGCCCTTGCAACTACAAGCATCACTACTCCCCCCTGGATGGATAGCAGTTATACCATAAGTTATACCTATGGATGCTAGGTTTTCCCAACAATTATGGCCCACTAACTTAAYTTACTTACATTTTTTGTACCAGCATGAATCATTTCCTTCAGAAATTTCATAACTGAGGCATTGGCTTCTCTGTGCTGTAATGTAGAGGCTGCAATGGCGCATTGGATTGCAGGTACTGCAATATTGCATTGCAGGAACATTAATGGGAACTTCTGAAGGCACCTGATAATACAACACAATAATTATTTAGTGAAAGCAAGGGGTTGGTTGTACAAACGGTATATACATGTAAAGTTATTTAATCCATGAATTATTATTGGATTTTGTTTGCTGGTTAATTATTTTTCACCCTATTGGGCAACTTTGCTCTTTGTTCAACTGACCTCAAAACATATTAACATTTCAACTGAAACATGTCTTAATTTTTTTCTGTCTGAAAAGTCTACATTATGGCAGTGTAATAACAATTTCATATAGTAAGTTTTGGTTTATTTATTTATTTTTATTTTGGTTTTACCTTGAGCTTAGTCTGTAGAGATCATCAATGGTGTCTGGATGATTCACTAGTCCTTGCGCTCCRCTAAGAAGCTGTAATGTTTGCAATGACATGGCCTGCAAAATTTTCATATTGTAGCCATTATTTTAATTGGAAATGACTGATGGACAGACAGACGAATAGACAGGTATGTTATTACCTTAGTCATCTCTAGTAGTCCAGGTATACAGACTTGTTCATCACCATATTCATCAACCAGGATACTTGCCAGGTACAGAAAACATGAATGCCTGTGAGCTTCATAGATCCTTACCATCTTTAAACAATAAAAAATTATTAGTTAGGGCTTAGATTGATATGGACAATTATTGATTAAAGAATGTATGATATGAAAAATTATTGATTGAATCATGCATGATATCAAAAATTATTAACTAAGGAATGTATGATATGAAAAATTATTGTCTGAGTATGATGATTAATTGCAGTAGTCTGAGTAAACATAATGATTTCATTGAAACCCAGTGCTTACTAGATTGATACACTGTATGAACAATTATTGCTTACCTGTGGTACTAAAGGGGTTAAAAGATTTCTTGCTGACTTGCCAATGCATCTTATAGCAAACCTTATGCACCTAAAAMAGAATAYACCATCAAGATGYTATTGAATGAAAGAGGGTTTGTGGAAGATCACTTTATGCATTATTCAAAAGGATTTTCTTAACTAATMCTGACCTGCAGCACCGTTCAATAATTCTATTATCCATTTGGTATTTGTCACAAACACTAGAGATTATTGGCCAAACCTACAAAGAAAAAAACCTATTTTAATAATTCAAATTGGGAATGGGGAATACACTTAATTATCAATTGAAGAAAGCAATGGATTATAGCTCCTAAAAGAGCACAAGTCTTTTCTTTTGTTATCCCAGAGTTGAACTGACATAGCCATTACGCTTAAATACCTCTTCTATCACTTCTTGACATGGATGAGCCTTGCCTTCTTCAACTTTATGTTCAGTAAATCTAAACATAGAAAAGTTATCTATTTAGTTTTCTCAGTTTTTCTTTCCACTTCTGGTTAGCTTCTCAGACAAACAATGAATGTTATATGATTGCAAGTAGGCAACTACTTGGGGACATCATATGGCTTTACGATGGGCTCCTTAAGAAAGGTGTAAAAAGCAGCTGGTAGAAGTATGGTGACAAATGAAAGAGACAKGACATGGTGAAGAAATTGAGGTAGCAATGGACAAAGGGAGATGATGTGTGGAAGCCATATGCACTCCATGGCAAAGAGACAAGATGGCACTGTAAATGTAGTGACAAATGTTATTTTTCCTTTAGCTTGCGTAATGCATTGTTACGTAAACCGTCCGTGCGTTTCCTTGAATTGTTTAGTATATTATGAATCATGAATGCCAGTAAATAAAATCTGAGGGTTAGCCGTAACAGGCACAATGATGAAGTAAGCAATTATGAAGACCAATCACTGATCACAGAAAATCTGGATTGCTTTAAACTGTTTAAAAAGTACCTGAACACAGCTGCTAATCTATCTAGCCAGAGAGTAGGATCTGGTGAGGTTCCCTGTGCATTTACAATCTGTGAAAGAGCATTGACTTGTGTGCTGCATAAACGTCTGAATCCATCAGTAACTTTATCTGCTGTCACACCCTCCAGAATCTTACTCACACCTGTAATATTGAAGGCAATTAATTTTTTTATYATCAAWTTCATTAAGAATTCATAAGACAAACACAGTGGAAAATMATTGCTGTGACCCCATCTTTATATGAGCAAGAGATTTGTTCTGACTTGAATACGACTTTAACTTCGATTTTCTCTTACAAATGATATTTTATCTTGAAGTTTTTTTGCAAAATATCCTTTAGCTAATGTTGGAATTTGATAAGCAGTATAAAATATTTGCTTTTGAACTTTATGGGCTCTAAAACTGCTCACTTACAGCTCATATTTTATATATTACAWAAAGTGGAATAAAGTTCCATCACATTTCCCATCTGACGTTTTTTCTWCAGAGATGATGAATGATAACCTCTAACACTGTAAATGGGCATGTGTATATGCAGACAGACAGACAGATGGATGTACTGTACCAATTAATGGTTCATAATAAGCTGACCTTTAATCATTCCAAGGGTAGCTTCTCCTGAAATGCTTAAAGAATCTGTTGCTGCAACAACCTGGACAAAACACCCAAGGTGTAGGCATTAGATAATACCAATTCATTAATCTAATATTACAATACATGTGAATGATATTTCATGATAAGATTTTTTATAATGAAGCACAACTTCACATATGGTGTGATTGTGATAATGCAGCTCTATTGTTAGTATGGCTTGAGTCTTGTCCATACTCTGATCTTTGCTGTATCAAATGAACTCAAGTCCCTGATGTAGGCATAAAGGCCTTCACCTTTCCCCTCAAGCCATCTCTGTCCTTTGCTGCTTATTGTACACATTGTAATATTTCAATTATAAAAAGTAAACTCTACCTGTGCTAAAACATCAAAATGTCGTCCCATTTCTTTGTGGCATGATAGGCATATGCTCTCAATGGCTGAGGCACAAATAGATGACAAGCCATGGGTTTGAACAGAAGTCAATAAAAATTGCATCAGAGGATCTGTGAAAAAGAAAACAACACAGTCAGTTTACTGTTAGATTGTGTCACCTTTTATCACTATTTTGAAAAAGTATTAAAAAGACTAAATACAGATTAAAATTGGAATCACAGGAGGTATGAAACTAATGGAAAAGGGTAATAGTAATTAATGATATTCGGTA